ATTTGGTTGGATCTACTGTAATTAGAGATAAATTACTTGTAATTTTGAATAACTTGATCCCAAATAAACAAGGGCAGAACAGCCAAATTGGAAAAAAAAAAGATATAAATAAACAAAGCAGTTTATACAAAACTCTTTTCGCTAATTCTCTGTACACAAAAATATAAAACAAAACAATAATAAAAAATGACAGAAATACATAACCAGCTATAGGAAACAAGACTTGCAGCTCTAAGAAAAAAGCAAAAAGATTAAAAATAATACTCAGTCTCTTAAGAGACTTGAATAAATAAAGCAGAAGTGGCAAAGATATAGTAGAAAAATTTGAAAAATCATTAATAATTTTGCCCTTTGCAAGTCATTTAGAAAATTGGCCTTGACCTGTAATGCAGATCAGTTACTGTCATACAAGATACACAACATATAATGAAGAATAAACAAAGAAAATATGTTAAAAAACATGTGACAGACAAAAACAAAGGAGATATACAAACACAACAACAAATTAGTTATGTAAAACAAGAAACAATAGAAAATGCTAAAACAAAACCTATAACAGCAAAACAAGTAGAGGAACGAATAGCAGCAATACATATAAAATTGAAACAACATAGAGCAGGAAGAATTAAATATACAGAACTTGCACTCAAGGAAAAAAATAATACAGCATATCAAGAGCCGGTACATTTAGAAATCAACCCAACAAAACATATTCTACTAAACAAAGTAACTAATACTATAAGAAATTTATGTGCAGCAGAAAGAGAAAGGCTGTTTATATGTAATAAAGAAAGATTGGCCACTAAATACACAAAAGCTAGAATAGAAACAGGATAGATGAAAAGATTAAATAAACAGAAAAAGTGCCAACAAAGGCAGCATAATAAAATAATATTAGGACTATTATTATAGTGCTTTAGAAAATTAGTAGAATTAATAGAAATAAAGCAATATGAAGAAAAAAAGAAAAATAAAACTAGAAAAGAAATAAAAAAGATGCAAATTTGACAGAAAGCAAAGCTGCTAAAACAAAAACATAAAGAAGCTTAAGAAAAAGAAGAAATATTGAAGAAAAGAATTACAAAAAGAGATATTGAAGGCCTAATAGAAAAGAAAACTTTAGGCAAATTAACTGAAGAATCAAGACCAAGAATTCTGGTAATAGAAGAAGAAAACTCCATCAAGATATAAATCAAAAACCCACAAAGGAAAATACTAAAGTGGATAGCAGAGTTTATATACTAAGTAAACTTAGAAAGTAGATAAGATAATATTAAAGTTTGAAAAAAAAAGAAAAAAGAAATCTTAGAAGAATGAAGTAAATGAATTAGAATATTAGCATAAATGAAGATAATACTATACAAGATGTAGCAACAGAGAGAACAATAGAAGTTAAGAATTGGAAAAAAAAGAAAGACACCAGGTTTAGAATAGCAAAAAGAAGTATAAGAAAAGTAGTTAGAAATCAAGAAAAGTACTTTAAACTGCAAAAGAAGCTATACAGAAGGAAAGCAAGTTTATAGAGTAGTGTTCAAAATAAACTGGCTTATCACGGCTTGCTGCAGCTTAAATAGCTTATCACGTAATAAATTCAAATTTATCATGTAATAAGCCATTTAAGCCACAGCAAGCTGTAATAAGTTGGCTTATTTTGAATACTAATATAGAATAAGAAAGAAAAAGCAGATACACAGTTCAGAACAGTCAAAAACTGAAAGAAGAAAAAGAAAAACTTCACTTTGGAAACAGTAAGGAAGTTTTTAAAAAGACCAAAAGGTAAAGAGAAGTATGTAAGATCTCGAAAGTAGAATAAATGGCACAGCTAAAAAATCTTGCGTACTATATGTCATGCTAACTGCTAAAGTTTGTGCCAGGATGTCACCCTAGCATGCTATTAACCCATGTAATAATATACTCAATTAGGATTGGTTAGTTATTGTCTACTATAAAATAACCTTTCGAAATACTTCAGAGCATTACTCCAATTTTCTTTTCAGAATTTAGATTATTTTATTTTCTATTTGGAACCTTTTGGAATAGATATAAATGGCATGCCTATAGGCAATCTGGGCATTGAGCATGCTTATGGCATACTATTATAGGCATGCCAATGACCTCTATGTTACTTACCCTACTTGAAAGGCACTTATTAGAAAAATGTAAGACTATAGAGTAAAAGAAAGAAAGAAAGCACAAAGTTTCAATAAAGAGAAAAAGAATATCTGAACAAGTTAACCAAGATCTAGAAGCAGAAGAATCAAAAGTAATATCGAAGAAACTAAAAAAAGGAAAAGCTGCAGACAAATACTTCTGGAGAAAATTTGTATAAAAAATATGATCAAGAGTAAGAAGAATAAGATGAAGTTTAGGAACTGAAAGAACCACAAAAAGAAGGAAAAAAGTAAAAAATTGAAGCACCAGAGCAGACTACCAGTAGAAAGAAAAGAAATAGAGTATGAAAAGATGAATTGGAGTAATTATAGAAGATCATAAAAGAAATTAAGTAGTAACAAAATTTTTAGAATTTATAAATAGAGAATACACAATGTAATAATCTTACTTTAAGATTAGCGATTTGATGCTTTGCATTGTTCACAAGTACTGACCACAACCAAAGTGCAATTATATTGTGGAATATAAATATAATTAGATAGTACTGATAAGATGAGTAGTTGCTAGCCAATAACCAAAGGAAAATAAATCCTTAGTGAGTTAAGGATCCAGAGGGAGGCCAAGAACTACTGAGGCAGGTTGCACCTGGGTGAAAGCCAGGGGTGAGTCTCTAATTTGGTTAGATTAGCGATAGCTATAGATAGAAATGTATAATTCTTGAATAGCTTAATCTCAAATAAACAGAGGCAGGATTACTGAATTAACATATATTTTTATTCTTTCTAAACACTATCTTCTATTCAATTTTTTAAACACAAAAAATCTCTAATAGTTGTTCAAGAAGACTGTTTTGTGTAAGATTAATTGTATGTTTTGCAACACACTTGTAACTTGAAAGCATAATAATCTGCTATAACAGAAGCTATAGTTGAAAAATGAGAAGAATAAAGCCTTCACATGTTAGTAAACTTATGTTTGATTCTGAGAATAATGCAAAATAGGTATTTATTTCATTCATTAAATCTTTTGTTAAATTTTCTCTTCACCCTGAATCTAAAAAAAAAAAAATTTATTTTTCGGACTTTATCATGGATCTAATTTTAATAAAAAAAGTGATCGTGAAATAAGGCTCTAAGCTAAATATCTCGTAGAGCACACTGATAACTTGAACGTCTAAGTAAAGTTTGAGGTTATACATAAGCTTTTCTAATTATAAATACTAATTTTTAATAAACATTCCGTAACTTTTATTGGAAATTTTATCGGGCGTTACTTCTGCGGGTAACGATAAGAAATCCATTCGAAACATACTATATTTGTATATTTTCATGTTATTATGGTACGTAGGGTTAATGTAATCACATAAGTCCCTGTTCAAATTTATTTGAAAATTAATTTCATCATACTTATCGTTGTTATAAATGCTTAGCTATATAAAATTTATTCGATAAACAACTTTATTATACCAGATATAAAGCTATTTAATAAGAATCTTATTGGTAATAAATCCAAAATTTTAAATAAAATGATAAATTATGCACGTATTGCAATATTACTGATGTAAAAATGACTGAATAAATTACACACGTTATAAAGAATTATATAATAAGAATACCAAATAGAAATGAATAATTTGACCAAATAGAAATGAATAATTTGAATAATTTTAATTTCTTTTTGAATTTAACTATTTAGTTAATAAATTAGACATTTATACTTGGTTCACCCTAGTGAGTGATTGGAACAGAATTATTATTAAATTTGCCATGCTTGCAAGAAATAGCCGTCCCAAATTTTCACATTCCCAATATCTCACAATAGCAATAATCCAGTGCTATTGTTCAGAACCCCCACGTACAATCATAATCAGTAACAAATTACATATAAATTATTCGAATAATTATTCGATTCCAATTCCTAACCCTTTCCTATTAATATATTCTAATGCATCATGAATCCGTCTTTTTTAAAGCAGTAAATAATATGAAATTAGTTAATGTGTAGATGAATAAACCTAGATTTAAACTAAAAAAATAAAAATTACCCAAAGAAATGGTCCTCTCCTACTAGGCTCCACAATCCTGATAGAACAAACAGTCTTTTTTGGTTTTCACGTAGTTTTACAAAAAAGACATTAACATTACGGCTATGGTAAGCTTCCACGATTTCTAGGAGAATTTGTGCAGCACTTAATATACACAAATATAGAGGATTTAATTAGTATAAACTATAGATCTTGAAACACCAGGCAAAAATACTAAAAGTATTATTTATGATGCTCGTGTTCCAACAAGTTATTTCAATTTATTTCAATGTATTACCTAGCGTCTAAATCCTCCATAGTTTCTATATCAAAAATTACGTTCTCGATTGGTGATAATCGTGCATCTTCAGAAGGATGAACACTCATATCACCAAACTCTTCTAATCGTCTTAACCGATCTTTTAATTGACCGGTGTTAGCGAAATACAAGGGCTCTGATATTCGAACAACAAGTAATCCTTCTATATGTTCGGCCGAATCAGGAAAATCCTTGATTGGTTTAAACTTATTAGTGTCTCCAATACGGCCCTATGCATTTAAAAAAAAAAAATAAATAAATAAGATAATGAAAATTTGAACAATGATTTGAATCTACAAGAACCTTTAAATTACCAATATTGAGATACGTGGATAAGTAGTATGTTTGACCACAAGCACCAAGGACAACGCAACTGATATCAATGTGCCATATTCGATTGAGACAAAAATTGTTATAAAGAAAGTCAAAAATAGTAATCCAAAATCATTCCATGCTTTGATCTTGTACATGAAATGCAAGTCTTCAGGAAGTTCATGCATTAAAGTTAACGCTGCAACGCTAATAATTGCCGCCAGAACAGGCTTTGGCAGATAATAGAATAAAGGAAGGAGGAAAAACAAACAAATGAGTACAAACATGCAAGTTATTAATCCAGAAAGTTGTGTCTTAGCACCAGCTCTATCATTTATGCTACTCCTCGCCATACCACCGTATGCAGGAAAACCTTGGAAAACGCTGCATATTATATTAGCAGAACCTAAAGCTACCAATTCACGATTTGCGCTGACAGAATAATTATATTTTGTCGCATAAGTTTTGGTAACCACAATAGATTCTACAAACCCAACAATTGAAATCAAAACGGCGGTTTCAAAACAATCCAGTATATGTAGTTTAGGTAGGGGTTTAGGAATTTGGAAAGAAGGAAATCCACCACCCTGAATATGTCCAAGTATATGGACACCATCTTCATCCCATTTGAAAATAGCACAAAATATAGTAAAAATAATCACGCATATTAAAATTTCAGGAATAAATTGGACCCAAGAATATCGCTTTTGATACTTTGATTTGAGAAAACCACATATCAAAAGAAAACTAAAACTAGAAAATGAAACTATAGTTGTAAGTTTATGGGCATCACCAAAATGAGTGACTATATAAATGAGTTTTTCTACGGTCGATGAGGCATGACCAACACCAGCTCTAGTCGCCTGTTCCGTTAACATAGTCATTGTTAAACATTGTTCAATTATGATCACGATTGCTACAGCAGAGATAAATCCTCTTAAAAGAGCACGAGATAATACAGAATCAATAAAACCCAGTCTAAATATGCCGATTATTAGCGTCAAGATGCCCACAAAAAATGTAATTAATCCAGCAATTACAATGGCTGTTTCAGGATCATTTGAATCTAAATATTCTTGTTGTTGTACTATTGAAGAACCGACAAGCATAGATACCAGAGCTTCAGGACCAATAACTAATTGCCTAGAAAAATTCACAAGTATGATTAATTCACCAGATAAATCATAATGAAAATATTATGTTCCGGTCTTCAGTTGGCTACCAACTTATTCATTTCAAACCTTTTGGGGTGACTTTGTTGCCTCGTTGACTGTCACAACAATTTTACTGCCTTCGGGTTTTTCTTATTGTGTATTTGCTAAATTTCCAGCTGTTCATG